TTTATCTCTAGTTCAGCCAACCTGTCCATCTTTCATTCCCTCTCTAGTTCCTTCTACATTCCCCATCATTTTAACTTCATTAAGCCCTATCACTCTTTCAAAGCTTAATTCAGGCATCACATTCTCAAAGAAGCCTCCCTTGATCTGCCCTAGCTTTACTTAAGTGACTAGGTCAAGTCCTGTTGTTTGCCTTCATACAACTGCATGCCCTATCTCTCTTTCACATCACTTAGACAAAAGGAAGAGATTTATGATCTTGTACATCAGGAATTGGTGTTGCAAGTGAAGAAACCAAATCAAATAAGTAATTTAGCAATCAACTTCTAAAATTCAAGCCAATATTTCTAACCACACAAAAATATACATACATAAAAATGATATGTAAGGGTTCTCAAAAGAGCTAGGGAATTTCTTAATAAACAAATATCAAATATTCTTTGGCAATAAACAACATAGTCTATTTAGACTGCTGCTGAGTATGTAATTTATGAGCTAGAAGCAGCTTAGCAATTGTTCCAACCAACTCCCTCAAAAATACAGATGAGAAAAGTCAATCTCAAAAGCGGATCCAGAAGTCTTACTAATAGTTAATGACAGAGTATAAAGTGGAATTAATCAATAAATATCTGTTGAACACTCTTGTAAGCATTAGTTTCCTATTTCTAGGTCCTCTTTTCATTACTATATGCTGTTTCCACTTAAGTCATTTACAGAAACAGAGGAATTAAAATTTACTTTAATTTGTCAATGTAAAGAAGACGACTTTCTTTTTTTTTTTTTTTTTTAGACAGAGTTTTGCTCTGTCGCCCAGACTGGAGTGCAGTGGCATGATCTTGGCTCACTGCAAGCTGCATCTCCCAGGTTCACACCATTCTCCTGCCTCAGCCTCCCAAGTAGCTGGGACTACAGGTGCAAGCCACCACAGCTGGCTAATTTTTTGTATTTTTAGTAGAGACTGGGTTGCACCGTAGCCAGGATGGTATCTAGCTCCTGACCTCGTGATCTGCCCGCCTCGGCCTCCCAAAGTGCTGTGATTACAGGCATGAGCCACCGCGCCTGGCCTACTTTCTTTTTAAATTTTATTTTAATTGACAGATTAACTTATATACATTTATGGCCATACATTGTAGAATGGTTAAATCAAACTAATTAACATTATCTCATATACCATTATTTGTGGTGAGAACACTTAAAATCTACTCTCTTATATAATATATTGTTTTTAACTATCATCACCATGACATCCCATAGATCTCTTGAACTTTTTCCTCCTGTCTAACTGAAATTCTGTATCCTTTGACCAACATCTCCCTAATTTCCCCATCCCACAGTCTCTGGTAACCACCACCCTACTCTCTGCTTCTATGAGTTCAACAAAAGACTACTTTCTACCTTAAGGGAATGATACAGCACTAAGAAAACATAAGCCTTTAGACAAAAGCATGATGTGCTACTAAAATTATATTATAATGCAGTTAGCTCTTCCTATTTCTTTGTTACACCTCTCTTTCTAGATGAAGTTCTACAAAAGAATGCTGGGAAAGAGAACGCCCTTCTTGCTTTAATTTTGGACTTGAAGAAAAATGAGTCTCTGACTTACCTGCAGCTCACTCCAAGCAAAATTTGTTCTTAGCCTTCTAAACCACCAAATATATATTTTAATCTCAATGCTAACCTCCCATTTTAGCCAATATCTCCCTCTCTCAAGGAATGATGGGAATGGGATATCATTGCTTCAGGGCCTCTTGTTCACTATAGTCCACTAATTAGCTCTTTTATTAGCTCACTGCAGTACTCAGAAGGAATGAACATATGCTCCTGTACTCTTTGCAATAGCAGTATGAGGATAAAATTCTGAGCAGCCTTTACTGCTTAGTTCTTTTCCTAAGTAGGCAGGCCAATCGCCAGCTTGTGGCATAAAACATTGTGACTTATAGACATTTGAGTTAAAAGAGACATTGGAAACCTTTTAGTTCAGCACCCAATCCATGCAGAAATACCTTTTTGAAGTATCCTAAACAGAAAAGAGATTAAACTTGTACAAGTACACCTCGAAGATATTGTGGATTTAGTTCCAACCCTCTACACAGAAACAAGTATCACAATAAAGTGAGTCACACAAAGCCAGGTACAGTGGTGTGTACCTGTAATCCTACTTGGGAGGCTGAGGTGGGAGTATCACTTGAGCCTAGGAGTTTGAGTCTGACTTGGACAACATAGTGAGACCCATTTCTTAAAAAAATCTTTAAATTTAAAAAAAAATGAGTTACATGAATGTTTTTGTTTCCCAGTGCATAATATTAATGAAAGTTATGTTTATACTGTACTATAGTCTAATAAGTGTACAATCATATTATGTCTAAAAAAGTACCCAACTTAATTAAGAAATACTTTATTGCTAAAAAATGCTAATGATTATCTGAGCCTTCAGCAAGTCCTAATCATTCTGCTGGTAGAGGGTTTTGCCTTGATGCTGATGGCTGCTGACTGATCAGTGTGACGGTTGCTGAAGTGGCAATTTCAGCAACACAGTCACAGAGTGACTGTGGCAATTTCTTAAATTAAGACAGCAATGAAGTTTGCTACATGGATTGAGTCATCCTTTTCCTAAAGATTTTTCTGTAGCATGTGATGCTGTCTGATAGCATTCACCCATTGTAGAACTCCTTTCAAAATTGCAGTCGATCCTCTCAAATCCTGCTGCTGCTTTACCAACTAAGTTTATGTAATATTCTACATGCCTTGTTGCCATTTCAACAATGTTCGCAGCATCTTTGCCAGGAGTAGATTTCATCTTAAGAAACCACCTTCTTTGCCCATATATAAGAAGCAACGTCCCATTCATTCAAGTTTTATCATGAGATTGCAGCAATTTAGTCATATCTTAGGCTTTGCTAATTCTAGTTCTCTTGCTAATTCCACCACATCTGCAGCTACTTCCATCACTGAAGTCTTGAACACCCCAAAGTTATCTATGAGGGTTGGACTCAGTTTCTCCTGAATTCCTGTTAATGTGTTCTCTGGAGCAGCACTTTTCCTTTTCTTCATGAAATTTTTTTTTTTTTTTGCATTCACAACTTGACTATTTGTCACAAGAGGCCTATCTTTTGGCCTATCTTGACTTTCAATGTGCCTTTCTCTCTCAGTTTAACATTTCTAACTTTTGATTTTAAGTGTGAGATGGGTGACTCTTCCTTTCACTTGAACACATAGAGGCTGCCGTAGGGTTATTAAGTGATCTAATTTAAATATTTCTGTGTCTCAGGGAATAGGGAGGCCTGAGGAGAGGGAAAGAGATGGAGCAATGAGTGGTCACTGGAGCGGTCAGAAGACACACAACATTCACGGATTAACTTTGCTGGCTACCAGACAGTTTGCGGTGCCCCAAAATAATTACAATAGTAACATCAAAGATCACTGATCACAGATCACCATAACAGATATAATAATAATGAAAAAGTTTGAAACATTCCAAGAATTACCAAAAAGTGACACAGAGACACCAATGGTTAGACTTGCTCTTAGTGACTAATTCTTCAGTATCTCACTTAAGTGAATGCCCTTTCAAGTAACACAAATTTTGTATTTGAGCACTCTGCTTGTGTTCTTCATCGACAAATACATTAGGATTTTAAAAGAAACAAGCCTGTAATAACCTCAAGTTTTGTTTCGGCAGTTCTAGCTCTGTAACGTATGTGTGTAATATGTGTGTGTGTGTGTGTGTGTTTAAACACAAAGTATATCAAGATAACGAAGTATACCTGCCAAGTTAGTATGAAAAACACAAAATTTAGATTACACAGTTAGCTCAGCTTTCATTTTCTGCTCCTGTTAAGTCATAGAATAGAAAATCAGAGAGAGAAAAAGGCTTTCTTGCTATTTCAAATTCAAAACCAACTTCTTAAAGTTAGTTAAGAAACCATTGACTAGTAGAGCACATTTAATCCCAACACCAACACAATAATTCACTGCTTTAATATTTTCAGTGATTACTTCATCGCATGCATAAGCTCAGAGACAGAATAACTAGAGCCATCCATATGTCTGTTACTTTCTTCCCTTTCAGACTCTCTTACTTTTGGTAATAAAATTTTACACGCCCTCCAGAAGTGTCTAAACCTGACAGCAGCTCCAATATCTATTCTGGCAATGTCTAAGAGAGAATAACTTCCTGTCTTTTGTTTACAATATAATACTTTAACAAAAGAAAGATAGACAAAAACATTTGTTAATTGAATAATGTGTTTCTATGTATTTTTCAGGCATTGTTTTTGTCTGTTAGTAAGTTACTTCATTCTTGAAATTACCTTGACAGCAGTAGCTCATTAATCACACTAATATTTACATAAGAAATCTCTCAACTGTATATAGGTTAAATGACAATATAAGTAGATCCATATGACAGATCCATCCATTTGATAGATTTAGGAAATGGGGTTTTCTGGGATATCAGTCCTCTATTTTACTTGGTAATGTTCTTGGCAGTGAAGAGCTTTAAATTTGGCATTTGTCATTGCCTATCTTGGTCCAAATTATATCATCTAAATATTATGAAGAATACCGCACAGGGGAAATCAGCAGTGGGTTATTACCGTGTACTAGTGCCTGATATTAAAACTGTTAGCCAGATGCTTCCTGTGGACTTTTAGAGAGCAGAGAGTGTGGTGCCACTGAGCTCCAGAGGCACTGATGTGAAGTATGCAGAAGATAAATAAATCATGCAGTATATTCATTTCATTTGGCCCATGTGATTCCACTGACATCACTGTGGATAGATAACTGGAGTCTGTACCAGGCCCCTCTCGCTTCTGCACTCTGAGGCCTTCGAGGTGCTGCCCATCTAGCCAGGCCCTGAAGTAATTTCACACACTCCTCTAATGAAGTCCTTGGGGGCTGTCATGTATTTTCCTGCATTTGCCCTATTATCCCTCCCTGCTTGAGTCTTACAGATAATTGATGATACTTCAGTTAATCATCTTTCCCTCTCTTTTGTTCACCAGGTACTTCGGCCTTCAAGGGGCTCCTTTATTGAGAATCAATGTCTTCTCCTAGGTAATTGATCACCCTAGACCCAGGGACACCCAATTCATCGTAATCATCATGAATAATCAAAAAGCAGTAGCCGCGCTACTGCAAGAGTGCAAGCAAGTGCTGGACCAGCTCTTGTTGGAAGGGCCAGATGTGTCGGAAGAGGACAAGAGCGAGGACCAGCGCTGCAGAGGTGAGGTTCTGATGGGAGGCACCAGGGGTGAGCCAGCAGGTTCCCTCTCCTCTCCCCTGCCTGAACGACACGTTCTCATCTCTGCCCTATTTTTCTTCTCTTGGCAGATGACCACCGAGAGATGAGTGGATTTCTAGGGCATGAATGGGACATGGGCTGCGGGCGGACGGGCAGGGGAGGAAGCCTACTTTGTTGCAGTGAATTGCTGTCAGTTCTAATTTTAGGCTTCAGTAAACATGAGGCTACAAGAAACAGTTTAGTTCAAGAAGAACAAAGGATCCAAGTTGGCTGGTGCACGTAAATTTCAATTATTAAAAAATTGAAGCAATTTCTGAATGGTGGCACATACTTTTTTTCAAACTAGGATTTTTTGCCTCATCAGTTTCCATAGACTTCTAGGGTTTCCATAAATATGTCATCTCACCAGTCCAACCTCACTTTTTTGATCACCAATACATCCCTCATGATATATTCTCATGCCATTTGTAAAATAAATTCTCTCATCTCGATAAAACTGATTGCATCATTATCAGGGTTTGAGAATTTGGCTTTTTGCTCATTTTAGTGTTTGTGACATTCAGAGTATTAGATAAGTCATTGTTTGGGAAGTTTCCATCACAAAGTCTAGAAAGTTAAAGCAATTCTTATTTCTTCTTTAACCAATTTTTGAGAGGCAACCTTCTTCTTCTTCTTTTTATTTTTATTTTTTAGATTTCTTTTTAGCATTTGAATAAATTTCCCTCCACTTCCATAAGTATTGTCCTTTTTACATGCTGTTAATATTTTTCTCAGTATTTTTAGCACTTTGCTATTCCTCACAGAAACAAGATTCCTAAATAAAATGCACACTCCTCGTTTTTTGCTGTTGCTCATTATGTAATGGGAGAAGGTTCTGGGAGAGTCTTGTCCCCTGAGTTCTTGTACCTAGGCACATACATTTTTACGAGGGGACTATGGAAGTCTTAATTATTTGTAACCTGTCATTTGTCCTCCTTTCAAGATAAAAATCCCCTACACCCAGTCGTTTCACAGCCTCAGTTTCTGTGATACACCAACGTGTGACTTTGCTTCCTAGCTTCTTGTGCCTGTCAGCCTGAGATCACTCTCACAGATGTCAGCCTTTGTCAGGGAATGGCAGGTACTTGGCACCTATATAATATGCTCTATGGCTGGCCCTAGTTCTCCCCAGGGGCGGTGTGTTGTGTGCTGTTGTTTCCACTAAAGTTTTTTTCTCCCTTTTACTACACCACATCCTTTGTCTCCTCCGCCCAAATTCCTTTAAGCTTTGTGTTCTCTCTGGTGAAGACTCTGAGCTCCCAATTGAGTAGCATTTTCTTTTCTTTTTCTTCCCGAGTGCCACAGAATAGGAGAAGTAATCAGTTTAGTTCCAGATAAGGCAAATCATGGCTGTAAAATCACTAAATTAGACATGGCCCTTCAGGTAAGCTGCTTGGGGAAGTAAGTGATCAGAGAGGCAGAGGAAGCCACTGCTGGGTCTGGGGCTAACTGCCTGGCGCTGGTTGAATCCAATAAATCGGCTGGGGAAGGACGCCTCCTAAGCGGAGCCACTGGCAGCTGTAGCATCAGCCCAGCCCAAGGGCGGCGCTGCGCTTCCCACCCGAGCCCACCGTGCGGATGGAGTGCAGTCTGCACCGGATCCCTTCCCTCTGCAGGTGGCTGCGGAGCGGCTCGAGCAGGCGGGTCATACCGCCACCGATGTCGTCACCGCATGTGCTCCCAGAGAAAGGCATTAGTACAGGGTCACTTATGACAGCGGGGCGAGCCAGCAGACCCTGCAACACAAACACTAGGTTTTTCTTCTTCTCCCTCCTCCTCTCGACCCCATCATTTTCCCTCAGAAATCGTCCTTGTCAGCGTGGGTGACCATCCCAGCAACTTCCCCAGAGATGCAGAAGGAACTGAAATCCAGAGATACATTTTAAAAACATAATTTAGAGGCATATTTTATTTCAGGGTGCCCCACAGGACATTCTGACGTGAGGTGTGGGGAAAGGCTGATGTGGAGGAGGCAAAAATGAGTTCGTTGTAAAGAACAGACTTTTCCATTACCATGAAGAAATTTGAAAATATTAACACTATTCAGCCCAAAGTATGATAAAATTCTATGAACCCAGAAATCACATTCCGTTGTCATATGACTGCTCGTATTGACTCAGTGTTCAAATAATTTAAATAATTTATTAGCTAAACTGGGACACTTCTGAGAGTGAAAAGGAACACTGTTAATAAGGACCCTAGGACCACACAGGACGGTCCTAAGTAAACAGGACTAAGGGGTCCTCCTGTCTGTGACTGTTTAGAAATGCTCTTGAATAAATGTTCTCTACAACTATATGGAAAACAGTTTCAGAAGTTGAAATTATGTCAGTGGCTGTAAGAGGGTCAGAATGTGGCCACATAAGTCCCTAATCCTGTAGGTCTGCTTTCAAGGGGGAGCATCACGCAGTAGATGCTCAGTAGTCCTGCACTGCTCAATGGAGATAAGGGCTGATAATTTCAGTGTGATTCCTGTAAGCCGTCCTCGGTAATCAGTGTGAATCATTCACTGGTATGGCCCATGTGATATCCCCTCAATGCCAAACAGTGCTTCCCCACCAGAAAACTTCCTTACATTTGCCCAGTTGGTGGCTAAATGGTTCATAAAAAGGGATCACAGACCAAGTTAGATTTTCTCTGTCCTTTTTTCTGTTGTTCTGTCTGTCATATCTCTTTGGCTCTATTTAAAATGTTTCACATAGCTATTAGATGAACCATGCCTTTTTTTACAGATGATATAAAAATATTTTCAAAGGGCCAGCTAGAAGATGAACCTTGTCTTTTAATCATACTGGTCTTTCATCCATCATGGTGTGACTTATAAAAATGATGAGACATGATGCTTGTCTTCAGGGAGATAGCAGTCCAGTGAGAGACAGAAGCAGTTACAGAGTAGTGGGATGACGGCTGGAAAGGGCCTGCTCCCTTGAGTTTGGAAGTGCTCAGAGCGGGCACTCAATTCCACTGTGAGGTCATGGTGGATTGAGGAGAAGTGGCAATGTTTGCATTGAGTGCTGAAGCCAGTGGGCCTGAATTTGGTCACAAGGCACCAAGGGAAGGCAGTCCAAACAGCCAGAACAGGATTTGCCAAACCACTGAAGATTTTTATTCAGGGCAATGGACTTGTCCATCTTGTTTTTAGAAAAATGAAGATCAACAATGTACAATAGGAACTGGATGGAGCAAGATTCAGGCGAGAATTACTGCCAAGGAAGAGGAGGAAATGGATTTTAGGAGCCACAGCATTTGACAACGAATTAGGTTTGGGGAAGAAGAGAGAACACAAAGTCTAGACCGACTTCTGGGTTTCGGATTTGGGAACTTAATTAATGGTGGTACCAGTCATTAAAATAGAGATTTATAAGGGAAAATAGATTTAGAAAAAGGTGATGAGTTCAGTTTTGGATGTTGAGCATGAGAGGCTTGCAAGATAAGTACCTAGAGATTTATAGCTGGCAGTCATATATACAGGTCCTTTATTTATATGGCAGTCATATATACAAGTCATATATACATAATCCTTTTTTCAGAACCCTGGCATCACATGTGTACTTCAGAATTCAGAATTTTTCTAGTGTTAGAAGGGTCTTCCGGTGCATGTACCATATATTACACTCATACTTCAGTAGCAGGTGGAGTGTAGTCAAACACAAAAAAATTTGCAGCAAAACTTTTGAGCAATCTCACTGAGTCGTTAACCAGGACTATAAATAACCTCTAGTCAATTCAAGTCTGTTTCGGGTGCCAAACTTAAGAAAAATTTCCAGTTGCCAAAGCTGCTTGGGTTTCCGAAGTTTGTATCAGAGATTATGGACCGCTATAAGTAGATCTGGTGCCCATTAAGATATTTAATATATCTACTAATGTGAAACAGGGCCATTTCACAATTAATTTATACCATTTCAAATCTCATTTGTGTTTTTCGTAGTTATTGTCTGTATTTAAATGTATCCATATCGAAGGGATGAGAAAGTGAAGTCTTAGAGAAGCAAAAAGAGGTTGTACAAATTCACACTGCATCACCCACCTGCCACAAGCCCAAAATGCCATTCCATTTCAGTCCCTTTCTCATTTTACAGGGAAAATAATATTTCCTTCATTCCTTTCTCTGACTCTTCATGCAGAGATAGTCACTAAAGTGCTTTACTTCCTGCTAAAAACCTTTCTTAATGCCTGACTACCCCAATTTACCTGTAGGGCAAAGTAAGCCAGGGCCACCCCTGACAGATAGCTCCCCACTGTTGTTCTTTGAGTCTAAACCAACAGCTTAGACCAGCCAGCAAGAGGCAGGGAAAAGGTTTCTCTCTCTCTCTTTTTTTTTTTTTTTTTGCCACTGAGGTGCTTCATCATAACATCGGTAGCTCAACAGCCTTTTCTTTGACTGCAATTTCCTTACCTGAACTCTGACCTTTTCAGCTTCACTCCCCGGCGAGTTAAGGACCCTGATCCAGGAGGCAAAGGAAATGAAGTGGCCCTTCGTGCCTGAAAAGTGGCAGTACAAACAAGCCGTGGCCCCAGAGGACAAAACAAACCTGAAGGATGTGATTGGCGCCAGGTTGCAGCAGTTACTGGTAGGAAGAGCCACACCACCTGTTCCTCTGATATCCCCAAGTGAGGCATTTAGACTCTAAGTGGTCTAATAGATTAAATTTCTTTGAAGCACAAGACAGCCCCCTACCCTTATGGTCAGCTCTGCCAGATTGACTAATGTGGGGGAAATAGCTGTTTGAAAAGCATTGCTTGCCCATAAGATCTTGTGTTGTAAAGCCAAATCCAGTAAAAGTGAAGAGTGGTCAGTGGGTCTAACATGAACCCTGTCATCTTGAAATATTTACATATCCTTGGTGGGCCAAAGAAGCAGATTTGATTTCGCCATTCCTCACAGCATTTTAATTTTGAAATACTACTTTCTAAAAGTTGGGTAGCTTAAGAAAATAAATGCGCCCTTGTTTCATCAGTGTGACTTGCTGTCTAAGCTATTGAAGTCTGGCATATTCCTTCCCTGAGCTCCACCTAGGGTCCTGTTGACTTTCTTATACCCTCAAGGTTAAGGCTGTTCAGGAAGTATCAAGTCAAAGTCATTGACATGCTTATTTTTGAACTCATTTATTGGAAATTAATTGAACTGGTACCTCTATGCCAGATAGGAGAGAGCCTGAGGGGTAGCACAGGAACTCAGATTGCAGCTCGGTATTCAGGCTGTGGTTCTGGGGATGACACAGGGAGAACCATTTTCCTCTTTGATAGCATTACTTTTTACCCACATTCTCTCAGATGATTGTCAAGGAAGAAAGTTTGCTAGTTTATATTTTCTCAAATAACAAATATATTTGTCTGGAGATCAGGCATTAGAAGCATGACAATATCCTAAAATTTTTACTTTATCGGTTTACATAAGATTGTATTTTTGAGTCATCCCAGAATAAATATATAGACATTGTCTTTGCCCATTCAAGCAAAAATCTAAGAAAGATCCCCTGATTTGTAGACACACTAGACACACAAGAGCATCTTTAGAGACTTAATAGAAACAGTAAAACCCCACCTCTCTCATCCTCCGAAAAAACAAACAAAACAGGTTAAGCAGACTGGGAATTGCAAGCAAAGGAAAGTCAATACTTAAGGAGAACACAATAGTGAGCCAAGGGTTTTAAATAAATGTGGTCAGTATTAGTGGAAAAGTAGAATAAAATAATAACTATAACTTAACTATCATTATAGAGTTTACAAAGTGTTTGCATATGCATCGTCTCATTTAATTCTCGATAGCCTGAGAGTGATTCAGATGCTCTTTGACTTATGATGGAGTTGCCCCCAATAAATCCATCATAAGTTGGAAATAGAATAAGTCAAACATATAATACATTAAAAATGCATTTATTAAGCCTAACCTACTAAACATCATAGCTTAGCTTAGCCTACCTTAAGCAAGCTCAGAACACTTACATTACTGCACAGTTGGGAAAAATCGTCTAATATAAAGCCTATTTTATAATAAGGTATTGAATATTTTGTGTAATTTAGTGAATACTGTGCTGCAAGTGAAAAACAGAATGGTTGTATTCTACTAAATGTATATTGCTTTCACACCATCGTAAAGTAACAAAATCACAAGTTGAACCATTGTAAGTTGGGGATCTCCTGTATTACCATTATCATCCCTCTTTTACAAACAAGGAAATTAAGGTGCAGAGAGATTAATTTGCCCAGGGGAACAGACCAGTAAGTGGTGAAATTGTGACTTACAGCCTTCTCCTTCATCCAGCTCCAATTCTCCATCAGGAAGCACCAAGTGAAGAGCTTGAAAACATAGGTAGAAGCCATGAGGTTTGCTTATTGTATCTGAAGTAAGCTGTAGGCCGTCCAGTAACACTTTCTGCATTGATGATGGAAATGTTCTACAACTGTGCTGTTCAATATGGTAGCCACTAGCCACAGATGACTCTCAAGCACTTAAATTTGTGGTGAACAGGACCAAAGAACTGAATTTTTATTTTAGCTATTTTTTATTCATTTCTATGTAAATAGTCACGTGTGGTCAGGGCTGCCATTTTATTGGACACTGCAGCTCTAAAGCAGTGGCTATGAATGTGAGACCTCCCGACAATGGATTAGCATCACCTGAAAACTGGTCAGAAATTCAAATTCTTGGGCTCAAATCAAAAACCCTTACTGAATCAAACACCCTGGGAGTGAGAGTCCAGCAATCAGCATTAGACAAGCCCTCCAGATGATTCTGATGCTAAAGTTTGAGAGCCACTGCTGGCAGGGAAGAGTAGAGTGGCGAGCAAGGGGGAAAGGCAGAGAGTGTGAACGAGGATACAGTGGAGAGGGGCAAGGTAAGGAGTAAGGAGAATCCAGTGAGAAGGCTGTAGGAGACCAACCCAATAAAAAAATCTCTTTTTCATAATTCTGGGAACTGTTGTTCAGACTCCCTCCTGCAAAAGCTGATGGTCACTTTACTTGCTTGGAGATCGCTTGTGGAATTAGCTTAGTGGCATGAAAGAACTTTACAAACCTTCCAAGGAAGGCGAGACCAAAATGGCCTCGCAAGAGGGAGTGACTCCTGCTTTGACCTTTGGGCTTAGCAGGTTTCTCTGACTTTTGAACATAGGCTGAGTGCTGGAGATGTGGCACATCACTATAACTGGGGTTTTACTCCCCTCATTCCATCCTGCAATCACCAGATCCCTGAGCCCTGCCTTCAAAGCTGGTAGTGATATTAGCTTCTAAACTGAAAATGATGTTTTTAAACATCATTTAAAAACGTCAGTCCCGCTGCATTGGGGGTTTAATGTGAGTTGGGAGAGAAGCTGCTCATAGTTGGTAGACTGTTTTAAGAGCCCACTTATGATACCTCCCGCTATGCCTCTCTACACTACACAAATTTCACCACTGGAGAAATAGAAGCATAGAGAATTTAAGAAGTGTGAGCCCAGCTCACAAGGTCACTCAGTGGCAGCTCTAAGGGGCACTGTCTATTAGGCCTTCTTTAGTCTCTAATGTATTTAATCTGACAGCTTTTTGAACTCTGAGCATCATTTTCTTTAGCTTGCCCAGCAAGCTATAAATTAAACAACCACACCTCCTAATGACTTTTAGGATGTTCTCCTATTGTGCCAGACCCCAAGTGCACAACTGCTAAACCACTCTGTTTTGTAAATACGGAGAACCATAGCACCCTGTGAGTCAGGTGCTCCTAAAATCTATTTTTAATATCTTAGATTATTAAAAATAGTTTGAATAAATTCCATGATTTGTTTTTGTTTCACTGTATCCCAATCAGGTCAGTTTCAATATTAGAGTTTATCAGAGCTGGCTGGTCATATTTTAATAACTGATTAATTGTGAAATTCCATTCTCACATAAAAAATAGTTAAAGATTACTGAGTTTGTCTTTTCATGTTTTCTCTCTTATTGTAGTTTATTCATAAATATAAACTTTCTGTGATTTTTTTTACCTTGAAATGAATCCTTCCCATAAAATGCTTCCCCCCTGTTTTTCAAATTAGCATTGTACTCAGAGCATAAACACTGTGTCTTTAATTCCACAATTAACAGATCGAAGTTGAGCACAGAATGCTTAAGAAAAAGGCCAGTCACAAACAACTGTTTTCCACAGTTCATGAGTTGGTAAAATGAAGAGTCATTTATAGTGTTATTCTCTTGGGCTGAATTTAACCAAGAAAAATGATACATGTTTTGTGTTTTGCTTTCTGGTCTCCACTGTGTTCCCATTTCCTCCCTCCCCACCGCTCTCCTCCCCTCCTCCCTGACTCTCCAATCCCTTTTCCTTTGGTGTGTGGCCACAGACAGAAATTTATGGCAGGGGCCAACCTCCTTTACACTCCACACAAAGCTTGCTGACTTGAGAGAGTTTGTCCGCGCTCTCCCAGAAAAAACACCTGCAGTAGGCTCCCCGAGAAACCTGAAGAGATGGGAGATTAATGTGGCTGTAATAGCTGGGCAGTGTTTTGGTATTATGCCCTCTCCCTAGGTAGATGGGTCTTTTCCGAGATGATACCAATTATTTATTGCTGAAACATCTGTTGATAACTGCAGCTGCCCTTGTAAAACAAAGCATATCACGGGGTCACAGGCTACGGGGACCTAAAATCCTACCTCATGCTAGTTTTGGTCTATTCAGCAACACCCTCAAGTCCGTGGGTTACCATCATCTTTAATGTCTCATCGTGCCATAGAAAATACTTTGTAAACACCGAGCTGCCCTGCCCTATAGTCTTTGAAGTATTATTTCATCTTCATCGGTAATTTATATTCCAGGGCCATTGTACTGTGGGAAAGAGAGGGGGAACCTTTTTTGTTTTCCATTTAATTGTATATCGCCTGACACTTTGACCTGTATTATTAGTATTAGTCAGAAAAAGGATTTTCTCCCTCTCTTATTTAAAAATAAAATTTCAAGGGAAAGTAAGCACTCCTTCAGCTCTTTTCACTCAAAACAATGTTTACACTCTGAGAGGGAAAGATGAAAAGCATGAGCAACTTTTTTCAAGTGTCGGAGAAGGGCATTTCAGTCTGTGAAAGAGAACAGTAAGGCCCTTATAAATATCATTCAGCAAAACCTTTGATGGATTTTTCAAAAAGTATTGAAGGCATTTAGCATTAGCTTCTGTTTAGCTCAGCTTTGGGCCATGGCGGTGGAGTGCCAGCTAGGAAAACCCATAGAATCCTAACTTGCTGCTAAGGTGCCGGGGAAGGACTCAACGTGGATGACACCTTGGGAATTTTTCTTTCTGTAGTTTTCACTCTTCTAAACAACAACAAAAAATGTCTGGTGAATTAAAAGAAACTATGAAAGTAAAGCTTTCAAAACGTAGAATAAAGGGTGTGTTTGGATTTGCAAGTGGGAACAGATTTGGCTGCAAGGCCAAGAGCTGTGTGATAGCTCTGAGTTTGGACATTCCCTGCACAGGTTTGGGGGTCCTGATGGTGAAGGAAGACTGGCCTATTTCTGGGGAGGGAGGGGCCTGCTGTCAGTCAGCCCTGGATTTACTGTGGTGCCCACTCATGGAGATACGAGATGATTTTTGTAGGTTGGCACTAAAAG